GAAAGCGACAAGCCGGTGGCCGCGGTCGAGCCCCTCACTGAAGCGGCGTACCACAGGCCACTAAAAGTTTTTTATTATGAGTGTATTTTAGTTTGTGGTAGTTGTAGGTCATCTAGGTAGAGATGTCCAGAATTCAAAAGGCTATACACAGATATTGATAGAGATGCTTTAAGGTAGCTTGACTCAAAATGTCCTATGGAGAAAGAGCAACAGATAGAGAACTCAGGGAAAAGATCAAAGACATAGTTACAGTTTGGAGAGTTACCAGCTCTAAAAAGATGACTGAAGTCATTGGGGCAAGTGAGATTGCCCAGAAAGAGAAAGTTTAGAGTGAGAAGAGAAGGCAAAGAACAAAACCATGAGAAACAACAACATTTTAGGAGCATGCAGAGGAGGAAAAACTAACAAATAAACTAAGATGGACTGATCAAAGAGAAAAGAAACAACCTAAGTGGCCTGATGACACAGCAAAAAGGCAAGATGGATTCAAAGAAGGAAGTGGTCCCCAGAGTCAAATGCCACAGACAGGTAAAGGGTAGTAAGCAATTAGACGAGGCCTTGGTGAAATAGGTGTTTGGAGAAGAAATAAAAAACGAATTAACTCACTTCTGTAGTTTCTGCTGGCCATTGTCTGGCTCTCTGAGAGACAGAACTACAGGAAGTTTTCCAGGTCCCTTCCAATTCACTCACCAGAAATGCCTGAGGGAACTCAGGCTGTGCTATGATAAAATTAGCTATGAGGATTTCTTTTTTTTTTTTGTCCTTTTTGAGACCAGCCGCACTGCGCTCAGCCAGTGAGCGCTGTGAGCGCACGGGTCATCCCTATATAGGGTCCGAACCCGCGGCGGGAGCGCTGCTGCACTCCCAGCGCTGCACTCTCCCGAGTGCGCCACGGGCTCAGCCCGAGGATTTCTTTAAAAGCCACATTAAGCCACTGCCATTGGAGAGCAGGCAGGATGGAGACACAGGAAGTGGCAGCAGCCTTATATAACCTTGAGCTAGCACTTTGACCCCAGTGGAGCACTGTCTCCTGTAAAGTCCCCATGGCCATGCCAGCTTTGAGCTTTCCTCCCAGAACACAACCCTCACACTTTCAGTGGCCTAGAACACAAAGTATACCTTCTTCCAAATTCTACCATTGCAAAGTATTTTCAATATTTAAAATGTAGTCACCCTCTGCTCCCCATGAATTATACACAGTGCTTGTCCCACTAGATGCTAGCCCCTACACCTGTACCTTTAACTATCTTCTTTATTATTTATTATTATTATTATTTTATTATTATTATTATTATTATTGTCTTTTCCCGTGTCCGGCAACGGATCGCAACCCTCAGTGTCGCCCCCGCACCGGACCGGGACCGGCAACGGGACCGCAACCCTCGGCGTTGCTCCCGCGCCTCGCTCAGCCAGTGAGCGGGAACCGGTCTGTATGTGGGATCCGAACCCTCGGGCGGGAGCGCCGCCGTGCTTCCCAAGCGGCGCACTATCCAGTGCGCCACCGGGCCGGCCCCTTTAACTATCTTCTTAACCCCTAACTTTCTTCTTCTACATTCACAGTACTTCCTCAATATCATGACCCACACTTCTAACTATCCAAAACCCATGTCCTCCTCCCCACAGAGTCCACACTTAATATTAGACATATCTATCATGTCCCCATGTGATGCTGACTACAACATAAAGAGAAGCATACAAAGAATGAGCAGACTTTTGGTACTGTCTTAGACCTTTTAGCTCTGAAGAGACAATGTGGTACAGTTAATAAAGCATTGTATTAAATTAGTTGTCAGGTGACCAAGCACAATGCTGATTCTGGCACTAGCTAGCTTTGTAAATTATCTTTGTAACTGTAAAATCACTATATAAATGTGAGATACCAATATTTCTGAATTGTGAAGCAATGTTAGAGAGTTCAAGGTGAATATGAATATAACTAAGTGGTCTTCCCCTGTTCAGACCTTTGAAGATACCTAAAGGTAGCTGCCCATCTGAATTGGAGGCAAGATATGAATAATTCAAAACAGTACCTAATAAAAGTTTATTCTATTTGACTTTGAAAAGCATTATTTTAGGAAGGCAAATCTTGTGGAGAATTTTAAAAATTATGAATGGATCCCAAGATCACAAATAATTATTTTCTTTTCTGAATTTCTGTGAATAATTGAAATTTGGCTACATTGTATAAATTGCTTGACAATTCATTTACTTTAATGCTGAGATCCTACAACTCACATGTTATAATTTTTTTCTAACTGATTCTGAAAGTCTTTTTATGATTTCCAAGTACCAGATTTAAATTTCTATTTGAGACTTAAATTTTTTTGGCTAAATGAAATAAGAATTACTGAATAACTGATTGACTTTTTCTTCAACTGATTTAATATGAATTTGCATTTTGTTAGTCCCTCAAATTGTAGTGTAGTATTTTCTTAGATGGAGGATGAGGGATGGCAATGGAAGGAATGGCTTTGATATTAGACACACCACAGTTAACAACTTCTCACCAGCCCTGTAATCTCAGGCAAGCGTCATGACTCCTAAGAGCCTCAGAGCATCATCTGTAAAATGGGATAATAACACGTACCTAGTGAGCTTCTGGTGAAGGACTAAATGAAAAAGTATATAAAATAATTAGCACAAATATCAATAACTTTTATAGACTACAGCCATCCCTCCAAAATTACTAAAAGTATATTCTAGACAAGCAGAAAAGATTGCAGATTTTATATGACCATAAGAGTTCCCCCTCAGTTTGGCAAAGATGGATATATACTGGATGTAGGTCCACATTCCCTCACATGGAATTCTGAAAAACCAAAATTTTTTCTAAAGACCTAAAGTTTTTTATACCTCAGTTGGCAGAAAATATTACCTGAACTCGTTTGTCAGTTAAATCCTGACCTGAAATAACATAAGATTTTCATTTCACTTTGTGTTAATTTTCCTATGTTTCACTATAAAATTAATTAATTTTTGATTATGGAGTGCTGCCCCAGTCCCTGTCAGTAGTGCTACATATATGCAGTATACGTTCTACATTACAATTTTAAAATCTAAAAAACTCTGAAATTTGAAACACAACTGGTCTCAAGAGTTTCTGGTAAGATACTGTGGACCTGTACTTGCTTTCTTGGTCTGCTACACTCAAGGTATGTAAAAGGATATATGGGCGGAATGAAATATTATCACAATTTTCAATTATTTAGAATCCCAACAGGAGGCCAAAGAAGTTTGCCACGTGTACTTTATGAAGCTACGCTCAGGCCTTACCATACAAAAGAAGGCCTGTTACGTCAGGGAAAAAACCACCAAAAGGTCTTCACTAAAAACAGGTAAGGGGAACTATACATTTCCTGACAGTAGTAATGGGCATTTATTTGCCTTCACTTACCACATCTAAATATATAATTTTTTTCCTCACCCAAATTTTCTTTCTAGAAAAGTGTAAGGATGATAAATTGCTTTTCAGCCATTTTAGAAAGGGCATTTAATATCATGGGAGAGAAAAAAAAAAGTATATCATGGGAAAAATAGTTTATGTTACAATGTTAAGTAAAAACAGAGGATACAAAATTGTACATAAGCATGTTTACAATATTTTTAAATTGATTTCTTTAATTTAAAAGAAGTAAACTAAGAAGTTAATAGTGATTGCCTTTTGGGTGTTGAGACCATTGGTAACTAGTTTTCTTCCTTCTGGCCTCCAGTGGGTGTATCCCCACTGGGGTATAAATGTGCCAGGCGGTATTGATCCTATCACACTATGAAGTGGCCAAAGCCCTGCAGTCAGTAACCACTGTCAGTAAGCAGCCTTGACTGGGAATCCTTAAAGGGGAATCTGTATAGAATGGGGATTGATGGTCCACCCCTATTCTCACCACTGTCCTGCAGGTGGAAATCACAAAGAACATCTGGTACTTGATGCCCTTCGACAGCAACTTACTGGGGAGTCCTGTGCTTTAGTAATTCCTAAAGCTAGGAGATGTACGACAGCATTTGATGTTCCCAGTTTCAAAGGTATAACTGGTCACAGGGGTTGTGCAGGGATGAGGAGGGAGGTAAGATACAGGACCTGGTAAGTGCTACTCCAGGTAGCAGCCCCAAGTCTGTGTCTTCACATTATCAGAAACTTCTGTCCATTTGCAGCTGATGTGCCCACTTAGTGGTATCCAAACTAGGTGCAGGGTAGCTGCTCTAATAATGAACATGCTTTCTATATTTAGCACTCCATAATTATTTTGAAATGCTTACTATGGTAGAATTACATATACATTATTTCTGGTGAAAATATGTTATCCTTTAGAAAAAAATAACACATTATCTCCCCAAATTACAACATTATGATCATGAAAAAAAGGAAGATCTATTATATCGTTGAAATTTAATTTCAATAAAATACATTTTAAATAGTAGTTTAAATGGTTTTGACTTTTATCACCTACTTGTGCAAAGTTCCATGTTGATAATGACTATCGAGAATCGAAGAGATCATCGTTAAGAAAACTTGACCAGGAAATTGCATGTTGCCATTTCAAGCATTATTCCTGATAAAAGTCTTAAGTTCTCAGAAGCAATACTGAAGTTTCTCATTAAACATTTTTAACTCATTTACTTTAGAAGTTCATATATAAATTCAATACTTACTATTCTCCTTAATATTTTATATATTATTTTTATAAGCATAATTCTATAATGTAAAGAAAATATAATTTTTTTTCCAGGCCCCAAAAAGGTAGTCCCTAAATCTGCTCCAGTTTACCCCAACATGCTTTAGAAATACTGTTTTCTAGGTGTGCTGTGATGTTTTTAAAAAAAGCTAGGAGCACTGCACTAAGTGTCTCTCTTATTTAGCCAAGAGACAGAAGAGGGCTCACATCTGCATTCCCCAGGACTGTTGGAAGTCTCTGAGTGATTCCACACCTTACAGATGGGCATACATTTATCCATGTCTTTCAAAATACAGCTCCTTCTCTCCCACAGTGCCCTAGATCACAAGATGCCAGGAGGTGAAGGTTTCTTCAGTCAGTGTCTGTCACTTTCCATCTTCTTTCTCCCCACCAAACCCTCTCATAAGCACATTAATGTGGTCTCCCAGGGCCTTCATTCAGTAGCTAACATCTTTAATCCCATACAAGTGTCACACCTCAACCTCTAAGCTACATAAAGCTTGTGCCAAAGGCTTTCATCTATCCAACAGCGATAGACAAAGTGCACCTCAAATTGCAAAAAAAATATTTTGAGGAGTCAATTTTTTAAAAAGTTGACAAAAGAACTGTGCATGAGAACAAGTTTTTGAATTCTTAATGACCGGAATGTCTTTTACTACAGAATCTGCTGCTTCCCTGAGCACATACAACGATCAGTCCATTACTTTTGTTTTGGGAAATGAAGGTTATGAGATACATGTTGATGACTTGGGAAAAGACCATGAGAAAGGTAGAATATTTATTTCCTTTTGTTTGTAATGATGTAATGATGACTAGTAAAGTAAAAAATAAATCTATGAAACCATAAGCAATGAATTTACTCAGATATGGCAAACAGATCACGTTGTGTGCTAACTCCAATAAACTGGCAGTGGATGCCTGAACATCACTAAACTGAGAAGGATTCAGAAGCTTAGTCAGCATTCATTAGGGGAGAATACTGATATTGAGAAGTGCTATCTATTTGAAAGATAGGAGAGACAACATGTATTTGCTATTGCTAAATTACCCACAAAATCTTTTCAGCCTTATCAATATCATCAAAGTACAACCTTTAGTAAAAGAATATGCTAATGCTATGAACAATATTTTAATAACAACTATGTTGGATAATTCATCAGAGAATATTCATACATTTTTGACATCTCTCTCAAAACCACAGAAGTTTTGCTTTTATTGATATATTATAAAAGGGGGAGGATATTTCCTGATGCAATGTGTATGTTGGAACTGAAACCTTTTGATAAAATTGTATCTTACCAAAGGGATTTTATGCATTCTTTTTCAGAAAAGGTGTTACTGCGTTACTACGAGTCTCAATACCCTTCAAGTGAATCAGGTAATCTGGAGGGCTGTGTAAATGTAGTACTAGAATTCTTAAGTTTGGGGTAAAGATAAATCCAAAATGCTCCAAGGGAAAGGAAGACAGAAGGTTCTCTCCAACTCAAGCTCATGGTAAAATAGATTCTTAAAGGATTTACTTCATCACATCCATTTTGCAGTTTAACAGTTAGGATAAAGATTTGGCTACATATACCAGAGATCCAAAATAACAGTAGCTTAAGCTAGATAAAACTATTTCTGTCTTAGCCAAGACTGAAATGGCAGCTCTGTTCAACAGGTTGTCTGGGTCCCAGATCCTTCTATCTGTGGCTCTGACAACATCTACATGGTTCAAGATTACTTGCCACCACGACTATGTCCAATCAGCAGGACATGCATTCTCTTTCCCTTTAAGGGCACAAGTTGGAAGTTGTACCTGATACTTCCTCTCACCTCACATTGGCCAGAACTTAGTCCTACTGCAACATGTAGCCAGAAGAAGTCAGGCTAGGAAATGTTGTATTATTATACAAGAAGAATTGGATATTGGGGGACAATTATTAGTGGCTTTACATGCATATAGGAAAGCTGATGCCCAGAGAAGTGCCCATTAGAGTTACAATTCTCTAATTTGAAAGCATGTACGACAAGTAACCTCTCTTTGGTTTAGAAGAACCATCTACTTATCCAACGACTTTTTAGTTTCATTTGGGTACAAATATTTCTAAGAGTCCTTTGGTGAATGAAGTAGTTATTTTTTGTGACATCTTAGACTCTTTTCCTGGGTGTTAAATTCATTAAATAAAGATGAGTTCTTAACTTTATCATTCACAATTTCTTCATTGTAAGGTGATGGTGTTGATGGTTTTAAGTTAATGGTAAACCTGAGTCCTACAAAAGACATCTGGCTGCAGGCTAACAATGAGGAGCACTCTGTGGAGGTAATAAAAATATGATTATATAACTGTCATTATCGACTCCACCCATTTGTGTAGATTCAGGTGCTGGGATATTTTGTAGGAGTTTTGTTTGTGCTATTGCACATAAAACACAAACAGTTATTAATGACTTGCTTCTGAAGTACAGAAGGAAGGGAAGAGGTATGTATGATCTTGCTTCTGGTCTCCACCAGCCTCACAGTATCAACTGAGAGCTTATTAGAAATGCAGAATTTCAGGCTCCCCCAGTACTGAATCAGAATCCCCATTCTAACAAATCTCCAGGAGATTCATAAGCACATTTAAGTTTGAGAAGCACTGCTATCTATCTTGAATGATACCAAATCCATTCTATTTGGCTTCAGAAACTATGTTCTTCCACAAAGTATTTCTTTGTAAAATATGGTTTTATTAAGCAAATGCAAAAATAATTTTACAATCTGAGCCTACTTAAAGGAAGGTCATAAACATTTCCACATGCCAAAACTTACAGGTAACCTAACAATCTACATTCTGATCATAGGATTCACTACATACTCTTCTTCAGTTAGTAAATGGCATTATTATATTGGTCATGATGAGTAATTATAAATAGCTTGAGAGATAAACAAGCCAAAGATAGAGGTAAGGAAAAAAACATGAGAGTATAATATAGAAGACAAATTATATAAATACACAAAATTATAAATCTAACACAATCATGTAAGGCATTATTAACATAAACAGTGGATGGTAACCAGCATCTTCCTTAACAAAACCTTCCTAAGTGTATATAACAGAGTGAATGACATATATAACTACTCATTAATAATAGCTGACTCATACTGAGCTCTATCATATAACAAGCACTATGTTAAATGTTTTACAAATACCATCTCTTTTAATTCTCACAGTAAGTCTACAATAGAGTTACTGTATTAGCTGTTGCTGGGTAACTATCCCCAAAACCTAGTGCCTTAAAATAATAATCATTTATATTACTCATATGTCTGTAGGTATGTTGGGGATTGACTGATCTAGTAAACTGGCTTGACTAAAAACTGAGGTTTCAGAGATAATATGTCTAAGGTCTAAGAGATAGTACATGGCAAAAGGGGTAAGATCCAGAACTGCTACATCTGGACCCAGTCATTCTAAGCCATTCTGTCTGTCTAAGTATACTGACTATCAGTGAATCAAATCAAATCCCACTCCCCACCCCACCCCTCTGGCCTTCTACTCACTTATTCCTCCCTACCCTCCTCTACTTAGTAAGCAAGCTAGCTAGAAATACAAAGTCAAAAATAATTATTCCCCTTTGGTTTCTAACACAGGGAGGTAAAGTTGACTCTGGACTTCCCACTCACATATTGGTTCTTTTCTCTCTTGTTTCCTCAGCTCCAAAAGTACGAAAAACGGTTGCCAGACCAGGCCTTCTTTGTCCTTCATAAGAAGCCCATGAAATGTGTTTCATTTGAATGTAAGAGCAATCCTGGAACATTTATAGGTGTAAAGGATAATCAGCTTGCTCTAATTAAAGTAGACTATCCTGAGAATTTGTGTAGTGAGAATATCATGTTTAAGCTCTCTGAAACAATGTGATGGAAAGCTGTGGGTCCTGGGCCGAGTAGCCCAAATGCTATCACTGGAGAAGGAATGAGAGAGAAAGAAAAAGACAGGCAATATCTAAGGGAAACAGAGAGCAGTTGGCTTGCTGTGGAATATTTTCCTTATGTGTAAAGATATTTTTTCTAATCCTTCAGTTCTGTTTTTTATTCCCCTCTGTATAACTGCATATTCAGTATAAGTAACAGTATATTAAATAGGATATTGGTGTAGAAACCTGCCAACATGCTGAAGAGATACAGCCTGACCTTTACTTTTTCGCATTTAGAGCTGAGACCTCTGGGGAGAAACAAAGGCCATAGCTCAAGTCTTTCTATAGACAGGGATCCATTTTAAAGAGGTACATAAGGAAATAATTTCTCCTGGTTTCAAACAATAGGCTCAAACACTAGAGCTGCTAGTAAAAGAATGACTAGATGCTTCACACGTTGACAATTTCTTAACTGGAATAAAACACCAAGTTTGTTTGTAGACGACCTAGGCAACACTAAGATCAACTCTTTTTTACTGTAAGCAGTTATGAAACTTCAAATTCCTACACAGCTAGGCAGGTAATATAAATGTGTAAAAAATAAAAGCAATCAAAATATTAAGAAAAATAAATCCAGTATTTGTAAAGTGAATAATTTCACCTTCATTGTTTCATTTTTAAAATTCTGACTTTTATATATTGAGTTACTTTAAGCAAGCAAGTCTTAAAGGGAGTCCCTTTAAGGAAGTAAAATAAATTTTAGTTTGGACACATAATTGATTTATTAGAAATATCTAACAAACTAAAACATTTTTTTTTTAAAGTACTCAACTATGATATATGTTAGCACATACAAGTACCATGGGATCCACGCAGGTGAGGCCAGAAGTCCTCTAACCTACTAGAGCCTAGATGAGACACATAATTAACTTTAAAATTTCAGTAACTGTCTGTCGTGTTTGTGACATACCATGTCCTTATGACCTTGGCTTCCAGAGATCTATGACTTTTGATATACTCATTGTCACGCTGGACAAAGTTTCTTCTAATCCTTGCTGCCTATGTGCACAAGTCTTTTTCTGTCCAGCTTCCTGATAACCCTGTTTGCTATGAAATATTCATCTGACTTCTGTCCCTTCTTTACTTCTTTTGACCAAACATATCCTTGATACATCTTTGGACCCCCTGAGCTTCATTTCCATATCACCTGACCTCTGGATGCCAACACCTTTATTCTGCTTTGTCTAACTGATGGAGTATTTTACATAAACCTATTAATGGCAATATTTTTATGGAACATTTTTGTGTTTTACCATTACTAAGGTAGTAAAACTTATACTCAACCATATAACAACATTTTTCAACTACTAAAGAAATAGTTTTTGCTTATTTTAAAGCCTTAGCAATTTCTACTATAACTTTTCTTAGACGTAACACTTACAATAAATGATAAACATAATAACAGTACTTATGAAATATGGCCTTTTCTGAAAGTGTGGGCTTTTTAAGTTCTAATTTATTGAGACCTATCAGATATAATTGCTTGTGGAACATAAGATAAAAGAGGCTGAGAATTACTATATAAAGGCATTACAATTGCAAAACAATGTACCTTTGTTTCATCAATTTTGTCAATAATTTTACCAAAGAGACAAAAATAAAAGCGGAACTTATATCATCCCTCCTAAAAAACACTAAATGTTACCCATGTGCATGTGTGTGATATACTTAAAAATCATTATTAAATAATCAGATATACCCATACATTGTTTATGTTTTAAATTAGCTATTTTTCAAAAGTATGTAAGAACATAATAAATTTATCATAAAATGACTCGATATTCTGAAATTCTTAAGTAAAAGTAAGCATATCCCAGTCTACCAGTGTTGGTATCTGAGGTAGGTAATTTGTCTGATATTTTCGGTGATTCAAAACTAAGTAGATTTTCAAAGGAAGGGATTATGTTTTTTTCATCTTTATACTCCCAGTGCCTATCATGATGGGAGGCACAAAGGAGGTGTTTGGAGACTTTTAACCAATATCCCACAGTCAACACGTACCTGCATCAGAATTTTAACATGAGACTTCTGACTCCTTATTTAGATATCTTGCGATACAGCTATCTTGTTTTTTGTGTTTAATTTTCTTTGTTGTTTTTTCTTGACACTTTCCACCATCATTACTATCTGTATAATTTGATTAAAATATTCAAATGTGTGGTGGCACTTTATCACTTTCTTGCATGTGTTTTGATGGTCCATAACACACATTACTGGAAGGAATTTGTTCATTTCATTACATCAGAAATGGTAATTATGTCAAAATTTACTTTTCCCTCATTTTATGCTATTCTTTAGATTTTTATATATTTATTGAATACCTTGAAATATTGTCAAGAAAATTTTATTTGAACGGGTAAAATAACTTTGAACTGGAGAAAAAACTAAATAAGAGTTGAGATTCAAGGGGGATATGGAGAGAAAATTGCTAATCTAATTAGAAAGCAGCAGCTCAATTTAAGTGTAAAATGATTCATAAACCCCACTTCTGCATAACAAAATAAGCCAAAAAATAATTTCAATTTTATGCCTTACACTGAGACATTTCATGACGGATAAAGAAATATTCAACTGCAGTAGTCCAGTGGGTGCTGGAGCAGGCTTGTCCCAAAACTCCTTCTCCCCTCATACTATAACCTATACAGCCCAGAAATTTCATCTTCTAGCAGCTATTTACCAAATACATGCCATATATAATGGACTCTGATAGGCACCCTGAAAACACAAAAGAAACCTAAGATATGCTTCTTTTCCACATGGAACTTAAACATGTACAATATGCATTAAAACTCCAATTCTGGGCCGGCCCGGTGGCGCACTGCTGTGGTGTGCCGCTTGGGAAGCGCGGTGGCGCTCCCGCCGAGGGTTCGGATCCCACATGCAGACCGGCCGCTCACTGGCTAAGCGAGGGGCAGGAGCAACACCGAGGGTTGCGATCCCGTGGCCGGTCCCGGTCCGGTGCCGGCGTGACACTGAGAGTTGCAATCCATTGCCGGTCACGAAAAAAGGAAAAAAAAAAAACTCCAATTCTGCCATACACAGTGAGAGATCGGAGTGGGTTTGTCATCAGGGTAAGAAATAGAACTGAATTCTCTATCCTAATACCCACTGTAATCTAATCTTATATCCATTCCCAAGGTCATTTTAGGCATGTTCCTTCTGCATGTCTCAGGCAAAAGGGGTAAAATTCCATTGTTCCAATGCCCTTAATAGTAAGGGATGGGCTAGAGGCTTAGGAAATCTAAGGAATAGATGCAAGAAATAAACATGAAAGCCAGTTGTTAAGGAATCAATGAGCTATTTCCTGTTGAGATGCCAAGATGATGAAACACTTGTCCACGTACAATTATAGTCCCTAGCCCAGAGGACACTTCCATAAAGAGAATGAATCACTGTTCAGTATATTAAGGACACAGGCTTAGTTTACTGCTTATGGCCTGTACAACTTCAACAGTGTATGTAACCTCTCTCAATGTTTGCATCTCCTCTACAAAATGTGAAGTACCAAATATCGTAGTTGTCTACCTAATATACATCATGATTACCCCTGCCTCTTTACCAACAGACCTCATTTTGTACCAAATAACAGTGTTCCCAACTAAAAATACACTCTTTCCCAGACTCCCCTACAGCTAGATTTGGTAGCAATTTTATATAGTTCTAGATAATGAAATATAAGCGGGATAATGGTTTAAAAAAACTTTTTTTTAAGGGAACTGGCATTGCCCTTTTTCATTTTTCATCCCCTCTCCATCTTCCTACACAGACTATAGATAGGAAGCTCAATGTCCAGCAGTCAACTTCTTTTTTTTTCTTTTTTTAAATTTTTTTCTTTTATTCAGGAACATTAATAATTATAATGTGGTATTAAGGTAGTTTCAACATTTTTCTTACAACTATTACAGAATCTTCATATTCTTGATTTTACGTAGTTTCTATGTTGTGAATATTCAGCTCCTGATAAACACCATTGCCCTATTTATCTTCTGGCTATCAGTTTAGTGCTCCAACAGCCAACTTCTGATCATGAGGTGATAAGCATGGGGACAAAGGCCTACGCAACACACTTAAAACGGCAGGAGGGAAAAATGAAAGAACCCTGGTGTAGCAAACGGTATTGGTGCTCTGCCCAAATCCCTTTAGATTCCTTTAAACTGGATATTTGATACCATTTAAATGTGTACCACACATCTGTAACACCACCATCTTCTGTGTGCTTTCTACATCCAGCACTTGCAGCTCTTCTTACAAGGATTGCCTTTATGGTACTTATGAAGTACTGCTTTTCCCCCTTGCACAGAGAGATAAAAGTATCTGTGAGTTCACATTTCTCTCAACAGCTTCACAGGCTTTTGAAAGCCCAGTTCCCTTGTCTTGGGTGGAACAATTCTGTCTCAAATTTCACTAAAAAATTCCCCTATGAGGTTCATGCTAAAAGTACCTTCTGCTAGACTACAGCATGAGATCACATGTTTACTTAGGTTTCTGTCCATCCCTGTCCTGCTGCAACTCCCTCATCAGTCTTTCTTGGGAATACTTCCTCAGTCAATCACATGCTCACAAATCCTTAACTAAGGATCTGCTCCTGGGGAACCTAATGTAATGTGGCATGTTGAACTGCCACACTAATCTTGAAGTACTAACTGCAGACTTCATGTTGAGAGAGAAAAATATACCCCTATCTACTTACACCAGTGTTGGGTTTTCTATTGAATGCAGATTAAAGCAAACTTCACCTATAGAAGAGACAATGGTAACACCTGCTTTCTAATACACTGATAAGAACCCTCTGGCACATAGCAAGCACTCAGTGAAGGTTAGCTTAGAAAAGAAGGCAAACTTGACTAACAATGAGAACAATTTTTCTTTTTTTTTTTTCCTTTTTTTTAAAAGATGACAGGTAAGGGGATCTTAACCCTTGACTTGGTGTTGTCAGCACCACACTCACCCAGTGAGCTAACCGGCCATCCCTATATGGGATCTGAACCCAGGGCCTTGGTGTTTTCAGCACCACACTCTCCTGAGTGAGCCACAGGCCGGCCCAACAATTTTTCTTAGATACAATTAGAACATAGAAAAACACAAGCAAACGCCTCCACAACTTTAATAAAATTTACCATCTAA